GGCGCCCCGGCCGGCCATGCCGTGGAATGTCCGCGGGAGGCGTCAGTGGCAGAGGGGCACCTGCCAGCTGGCATTTGACTGGGAGGTCAGGGAACAAGGCAAACACAGGCTCCTGGGGGGGCTGCGGGACCGGGCCTGCGTTGCTCCTCGGACTGGCATCCCGCGGCTGGGCTGGGCTACGACTGCCCCAAGGCCAGGACGGGTCCCTCCTGCCTGGAGCAGCAGCTTCCTCAGGAGGCCCGGGAGCGCTTCAGGGAGTGCCTCATTCCCACCCACCCTGCACGGGAAGACATGGCGAGTTAATGACCCCAAACCAGGAATTAGGCTCGGACCACCCAACCGTCTCCACTCCGCTTCTTGGTGCTGCTTCCCCCCAGCAGACTTCCCGCAGGCCTCTGCCAGCTGCTGTGCGTGGCACTCCAGGCCATGTTCCCGAGACAGTGGCGCCTAGCACTGGTGGCAAGGTAGGACGAGGAAGGTCCCCGGGGAAAGCAGCTGGGATCAAGAGCAGAAAAAGCCCCCTCCCTGGCCCCGACTTGCCAGCAGTCCCCCAAACGGTTCCCCACCCCTCCTCAGTCCCGTTCATTTTCTCCTTCTTGGGGGGAAAAGCACCCCTTTTACAAGCAAGATGAGGGGAAAGGGGAGGGCAACAAAAGAAGGGTGCCTAAAAGGCCTAGCGAAAATTCTGGAAACGAAAAGGACACCTCCTGGAAATAAAAAAAGGGGGCCCAGCCACAGAGGAAGATGACAGGCAAGTGGAGCCTGGTTCAGCATGAGCCGAGGTCAGAGAGGGAACTAAGAATGTCTCAAAAAGCGTTGGTTAGGAAACACACGGATCTGTGTACCTGCTGCTGTTCAGGGAAGATGGCAATACCAGAACAGATTGGAAAAGGCAGAGCTGCTGGCTCACTCTTCTCCAGCGAGAAAGTCTTCCAGCAGGAAATGGTAAAGAGCAGGACAGAAACCCAGTCAAGGAAATGTCTTTATTTTTAGTGAGTTTAGATCTTCAGGACCAGAAGAACTGCCTCCTGCTGGAGGAACTTGCTGATCTTCTGGCCGAACCCTTGCCTATCATCTTTGAGAAACCCCTGGCAACCGGAGGAGGGCCGGGTGATTGAAGGAAAGCAAATGTTGCTTTATCTTCTTCGAAAGGAGGATGGAGGGACCTCTAGGCCAGCCAGTCTGAGGTCAGTGCCTAAGAAGATTCCAGAGCAGATCATAAAATGTTCATTCCATAAGTACCTCTAAAATAATACAGTGATTACTAAAAAACTGCATGGATTTGTAAGGAGCAAGTCTTACCCACCCAACCGTCTCTCTCTCTCTCTTTTTTTATTTGGGAAATTCCTTAACAGATTATGGCAATGCTGTAGCTTGGAGTCTTACGGAATAGAGCACGATCCAAACACTGTGAACAAACAAAATATCCTACCTCATAATTAGCAGTTAAATGCAGGCTGGATGGTATGACATTAAGTGGCGCGAATACGAAGCTGGCTTGAAAGCTCATACTTCAGGAGTGCTTATTAATAGCTCTTCCTTAAATTGGAGAGCAACATCAAGAGGGTGGCCTGAGGATCAATCCCAGGTCCTCCACTCTTCAACATCTTTCTTAATGACTTGGAGGGGATGCTCCCTGAATGCAAAGGACACAGGATTGGACGGCAGAAATAGAATTCAAAAAGATCTTGAGAAGGTACAGAAGTGGGCTGAAAATAAGAAAATGAAATTTAACAGCAGCAAAGGCAATGCTCCTCAGTCAGGAAAAGCAGGTCAAGTGCAGAGGTGCAGGGCGGGGTGTCCCTGGCTTGAAGGTGGAACAGTGACTTGGAGCTGTAATGCAACATGAGCTTAATACAGGTCAGTTATGTGAAAAGGGAGATGCAATCCTAGGTGGTACCAACGGAAGGACAGCTTCTAAATCATGGGAAGCAACGGTTCTCTTGCGTTCTGCACTGGCCAGACTAGACGACACCCCTAAAGAGGGATTCAGAAAAATGGAGGTGGGTTCAGGGAGTGGCCACAAGAATGATCAAGGGGCTTTCTCTGTCCTATGAAGACGGAGAAAGAAATGGAGAATGTTTAGCCTAGAAAAGAGAAGATCAAGGGGGATACACAAATGCTCTTCAAATATTTATTTATTTATTTATTTATTTATTTATTTATTT